ATCATATTCGGACGCGTGTCACTATGACTGATGTTCCTTTTATTGATAGAAACAAAGAAGAAAATAGAGCAAATGTCAGAAAGTGAAATATGCGTAAAGTTCAAATTTGTATCTTTTAATCTCCTTTTGATAAACGAGTTAAAGCAAGATTTTTTAAAGGTCCAAATCGATACTTTTAAAGGTGACAAGAACTGGTTTCAATTAATTTGAATCGAGCAATACTATTTATATGTTCAGTTTTGTGATGAAAATAGTTTTAGCGATTTAGGTTTTGTGCGAGTGTAAAATGCGTGAGTGCAAACTTCAAGAAAAATGCAACGATGTAAATGTTCGACCGAATATGAGAATAACATTTTTGCGGAGTAGAAATGTATTATTTGTCCCAGAACTATCGCGTTATAAAGAAGTAGTTCAAATTAAAACTGTAATCGTGCACTGTTAATCATCTCACGACATTAAATGTAGTTGCACTTTCTGTAAAAATTTTAATGTATGTAGTTTAATTTAATAGATAATATATAATATATAAATTAATTATGTATTGCAATTTTTGTAATCTATGTATTTTGTATTGCAATTATATTATATTTTGACATAAAAGATAGAGAGAGAGAGTGTGTGTGTGTATGTGTGTGTGTGTGTGTTAACTATACATATTTCTCATGAAGTAAGAGAACAAATATACATTTATACATTTAGTTATAATGTCATTAGAATAGGATACTGTAATAATGTTTCACAATCTGATAATATATGTCATTATTTGAGCAAGTAGTAGGATCGATCAATGCGCCGACACATGTCAACATAATTTATCAATGTGCACTTTTTACCTATATTTATTCTGCTTAGCCTAAGTAAAATATTAATTATTCTGCTTAGTGCATAAATAAAATATTAACCAAATCTTTAATTATTTTGACGCATATTAATTAAGAAAAATGGGTATTTTTTCAAATATCATTTAAATATCTCGGCAAAAAGTATATAATAATTAATAAATTATAAATACCTTTTTAACTGTCACTAAAACTGAACTTAGATTAAGATTATATATTGAAGAAACACATAATTGATGAAGAAAAATATAATTCAAACGATATCATTTCCAGCATATAGATTACGAAATGCCTTAAATCTTTGCTCATCGCTATAAAAAGAGAGAACTCGACAAGAACGCGACAGCGAAGTGAAGTGGAATGATAGCGAATAGTGTTTCCAGATAGGGTCGGCACACATTAAGTTAACTTCTTTTTGCGAATGGTATTCGGGCGGAGAACAATAAATTTTCGCAGACCGGACATTCGCGAGTGCGCTCGTATGTTTACGTTAACGGCGATAGCGGCGTTAAAGATGTAATGACATGCAAAAGAGTGGGAGTCTCGCGTAAAACCTAATGGTCATACACGACATACCAGTCGGCTTGTAATCAGACAAGCATCTAATGCCGAAGGTACAGTCTATTATTATGAACTATTATCATCATCTGTTATTGCCGCGGCCACCTTTTCTTCATGTTCCGTTTTAGTCAACGTGCGTCTCGTTTTGTGTGTATTAGTCGCATCAAAATTCTAGATTAAATAATAGCAATTCGCTATTTTTCTTTAAATTAACTAAACTCTTTTTTAACATTTACAAGTGGTTCCAAGCTAAATCGTTTTTAACATTTAGTATATAGAAATTTTCTTTCATTTGTTGACGTCTGTAAATTTGCAAAAATAATATTTGTCCTTGTTTGACGTGACATGACTACATAAAAGAGCAAAAAGTCTCTGTCGTAAGACACGAAGAAGCTTCTCCTAAAACTACCGACTTCCATCGCTATATTTCCGATAACGAATGCATTGCACTATGTTATAAAAGCAATCGTGAACGTCTTTTGGCCAAGAAATACTGTATTCGCGAATGGTACCGAGCCTAGCTGGCGCATACAGTAGTCTAGATTAATTTCATAGCACGAAAATATTTCAAATATTTGGAAATCTTTTAGAGATATTTGTTGAGTATCTTATACCGTCGTAGAAACATGTTAAAGTATTATAAACTACAAATCCTTGTAGTTAATATTAATCTGTAAGAGCGATAGAATAAAACAATTTTGTTTATGCTTTTGAACAAATGTACGATTTACTGGTATCATTAATCATCGTTATTTAAAATGTTTAATCGATCATTCTTTATTAAAATTAAAATGAAATAAGCCCTCCACTTCGAAAATCTAGTCTTCGTACGCTTTCTTCGGAAAAGTACACTTCTATAATATTTATAAAATAATAAATATTTATCGAATCAGAATAGCAAGGCCCTTCGTATAAATTATTAGGAGAAAAACTTTACTGAAAAACTTTGTTGTATCCCATTTTTCCACATCCCTTCTCGCATTGTTCCCCCGACCTATTGAAGCTTTATTGTCGCTCAAGAACGGGACGTTGCGGACGTTTAAGTCGACTGATCTATATATGGAAGGCGAGGACGCACCTGAGTAATGTTCGTAGACGACGGAGGTTGACGTTTGTCATGGCGGTGCCTAGCGTGCAGGTCATACTCCTGCCCTCTCTTTCGATTCTACCCTTCTGTTCTCCCCACCGTGTCTGTCGTATTCTGTTGCCTCTTCTCCTACCCCCGTCCCAGCAGAGAAACTCATAATTGTTCGAGGGGACATATCGCTGGCGCGAGGGAGGAAAGACTATCGGAGACACGAAAGTGGTTATGCGCATTCCTGCTTGAGGGAAAAGAGAGAAAGAGATAGAGGGAACGATGAAGAGGAAGTGGAGTAGCGAAGGGTGAGTTAAACGCGGGGAAACAAAAAGAGAGAAAGAGAGAAAAAGAGAGCCAGGATCGTCCTCCCGTGTGCCTCACGACTGAATACTTGAATATTGATTAAGCATGCACATCGCGATTACTGGGAGCAGGTAAAAGCGCTCCTCTTGCAGGTCCGCGGTCTGCGTGTCTGCGGATATTTATGTGAAGCGGTGCTTCGACGATCCCTCTACTCGTCTCCATCTAACCAACCCCCTAGTCAGCACCAGCCCATCCGCGCGCAAGCTCCCGTCGTCTCAGACGGATAAAAAGGCATGTCGGAAGAGTCGGAAGATATCCGCTAACCATGAGACGTTTAAACGATGAGAGCGCGGATGTACGAAGCGCGTGTACGGTTGCTTGATTTACGGCCTTCGAAGGATTATATCCTTCGATCGCGAGCTGCCGCGAGCGAGCGAGCGAGCGAGCGAGCGAGCAAACGAGCTCTGGCCTAGTTCGCCTCCAGTCGACGATTAACAGAATAACGGGAAGCCATTCCTCAATTTGTCCCTGTTTCTTTTTTTTCTTCTCGCCTTCAACACGCGAGGTTACGAGGACGGAAACGCGAATACGAGAAAGAATCAGTTTGAACGATTCCGTATAATGCGTTCCGCGATGCTCTTATATAAGAAAATGAGATGGGAAATCAATCGCGAACTATTATAGATGGACAAATGAGATACTTCTATTTAAATTAGCCACAAGTTAATCCCTCGCAATAAGTTGCTGTAATAGCGATAAAGATATTATTTGTTAACACAATCGAGTAGCTTCCGAAAACGACGTTCCGAAATCGTGATTGTGGATTGTTCACTTTGAATAGTAGAATAATTGTGAAATCGCGATAATGCGCGAAAAATACAAGTTTCGATGTAAAACGTTACGTTTTATTATGCGCGCAAATATGTGTTAACGCCTACTCGTTATGTGCATTGTATAATTTTCCGGAATAATTAGCTCACTGCCTCGAATTTTCCACTATTATACAAAGTATTATTATGAAAGAAAATAAAATCATGAATTGTACATTGAAAAAGTTCCTATACGTTATATAAATTTTTTTTCCACATATTATCAAATGCATAACTGTTTCTCAATTTTACGAATGAAAAGGATTCGCTAATATGATACATTGATTTAAGTTACAATGCAAGCAAGTTCTAGCGAAATAACGCATGAATCGCGATTTATTTCATTATTCGTGACATTTTTTGTTCATTTCGTGGGGAAGGCGCGAGGATATAATTCACGGGCCGATACCGCCAAGCTAATTTACCCCGGCCGAACGCGCGCAGCCGTCTAATTAAGCTGGCTTTCGCACAACAAAGCGCGTACGTGTGGCCGCAATCGGGCGGGCTTTACAACACCGGCCAGCATCCGACGCTTCCACGTTGTTGACCACGATCGTCCTCTACTCGAGGCATCGGAAGCACCGGAAAAAGAGGACGCGCGGGATAACGGGGAGAAAAAGCCCTCGAGCTTTGAATATTCAGTAGGTACGTCCCGCCGCGTCTTCTCGCTCTCGCGGCTTCTCCCGTCTGACCTTATTTTTCTACGTAAAAAACTACGGCTTCCGCCGTTACTTGGGGATTCGCCTCGTTGTTTGCGGAAAAGACACGTCGCCGGAAATTTGCGCCAGCGCTCGCAGTTGAACGAAGGACAGACCGATTTGAATTAACATACGAGTGCCAAGACGCAGAGCGCTAATAAACCGTCAGTCTCGATAAGTAAAGTTTTAACGCGGGGAAAATGTGGCGAAAGATAACGGTCGTATCGATTTTCCGGGTCGGTAGAACAGGTAACTGGTTCTCTATACCATCTACTCGCGAATCTACATCCTAACTGATAAACTGACGATCGTAGATAAGCTGCACGTAGTGCACGTTCACAGGTATATGGTGCATGTTATCAAGCAGTCGATAAGACTGAAATTTCAGCCGGATAATTCGCTTGATCTTACCGAATATGTTTTTAATCATTTCTTTTACATATACATATGTTAAATAGTGATTAAACGATAATAAATATCAATATTTTTTCAATAGCAACGCCATGTTTGCAGTTTTTAATGTGCAAAGTTAAACAGAAAGTTTTCCGTTTAAACAATTCAGAGTCCTCGTAATTTATTCTTAAAATGTCAATATATAATTACGTTGCATTATAAAAAAAAATCGTGGTACTCACTGGGATAGTTGCAGTCGTGTTCGTCGCTACCGTCTTGGCAATCTTCCACGAAGTTGCATCGCTGAGATTCCAATATGCATCTGTTTACATCACACGCAACTCGCCAACGCTGCAGCCTATAAATATATAAAATATAAATTATTAGCATATTTGTACATACAATAATTACACTTTGAAATTAATCATATATATCTCATGATATGCTTTCAAACTTATACAAATATACAGTATATCCTACAATCGTAGTATAAAATTACAAAATTACAAAACATTACATACAAAATTTATTTTTTAAAAGTGTTAGAGAAACATACGATCTCATATTATTATTAACATGCTAAATTACATGCATCAATATGCAATAAAAATCTACAAGTTCTATATTGACATATATACATTTGTAAATGAATACAGCAAATGAGCAGAAATTTTAAATATATCTTATGTAATAATAATATACAATATTGTTTATTATGTAAAAGAATGTTTAATAGTCTGATTTTTAATTTTTATCAATGCTTACTTTAATAATTGTGCGTCTGTTATGTGCGCGAAAATGCGCGCGTAATTGAGACTACGGTCACGCGGAGTTTGCTTGACGGAATTCTCACGCGTTCACATTATTTACATAATATACAGTATTATACAATAATTTACACAATATACGCATAATACAGCGATAAAAAAAACAATTTCAAATAAATTTTGTAAACATTAAACATTTTATATTATTTTTTAAACATTATTAACCATTCAATATAAATGTTTAATATATATATATAAAATATTTTTATATCAATTTTTAAAAATACTTCTGTGTGTTTTGATAACTTAAAAAATTTCTATCTTAAAAAATCTGTCGCTCTTATTTCATTTTTTATTTATTTATATTTAGTATTCAAACTTTTAGTAATTATACGTATATGGAGCATTATTACATTTTAAAACAGAAAAGTATGAAAATTAATAATTTATAAATTAATAATATTACAATTATAAATTAAATTCATTCTCACAACAACAATGCATGTATAAAACCACTAACTACTTCGTTCAAAGATAATTGTATACAAAATAAAATAAGAACAATATTTCTATGTCAAAATGCATAAAATTTGAATTTTATAAAAATTCTCAGAAAGATTACGTTAAATTCCAATATTAAATACACACACATACATATATACACACACATTTATTCCAATCTTTTTTGTCATTAAGTCAATGAAGATTAATCGGCACAACTTATACCTGAATGTGGACAGCCGACCTCGTCACCACCGTCATTGCAATCCGGAACACCGTCGCATTGCTGCACCGAACAAATGTAACGACTGCCATCTTGACAGCGTACTGTATCGTCAGCGCGACACTTGTTTGCTGACCGTAGCGTAGATATCTCATCCTCCCTACTGCTGTCATCGATATCAGATACTTCCGGTTTTACCTCATGATGTAAATCCGGGAAATAATCTGAATGTAGTCGTGGCTTCACAGTAGTGTACTCGAAATCTGCTGTTTCGTTTATCAATATGGTTCAATGCGGTGTACAAATATCATATACGTGTTAGTGAAATAAATGGATTAAGCATTAAGTGCATAATAAACAAAATTGATAAAATGATGATAGATATAAATGCTATTTTTCAACTTATTTTCAATAATATTGTTTGTGTGCTATAAAAAATATATTTTTTTAAGAATATTATATTTCTATATAAAAATATTTTAAGAAAAATAAATAATTATATCATATATTTATAATATATTAACTGTATTTATGTAGGCTATTTCTTCTGTAATTCTTGTGTAAATTATTATCTATATATTTCTATAAATATATATATATAATAATTCTATTCGAAACTTAATTAAATGTACACTAAAATATTGTGTGTTTTTCATTAATTAAATAAACAAAGTTGAAAAACGTGCATTTAATAGTTTAATGAAGCAAATAGAAAAAAATATATATATATATATATATATAAAATAAACAATTTAAAATTTATAATAAAAAGCTCTCTCTATCTGCTCGAACCTGTCTTGGAAATTATTCCATATAAACGCGATACTTTATTATAAACTATATGTACAGAATTGTAAATAAATCATACAGAGATTTACTATAAAGCTATGATTATAGCTATGTTATAACGTACCATATATCTGTACATAGGCTACATCTTGACCTTCATTAAGAGGAAAAAATAGAAATGCATATTTTATATAAGCGCTATAAATAAGTCATGAGTTTGAACAATATTGTCGTAAAGTTTCCCCTCGAAAGAGATGATTACGCAATGCGGATTCGAGTCCTGCGTACTTACCATCATTTGTTCTGTTTGATGAATCTGTCGGACAATTATCCTCGTCGGAACCATCATTGCATTGTAATATGCCATCGCAGCGTGATTCTAGCGATACACATTCACCGCTTCTACATCTTAATTCGGCTGTTTGATCGCATTCCGGCTGTGTGTTTTTCTCTCCGGCTGTATTCAGTTGCCATGTATCGTATTTGTGTGCATTCGTTGTGTCGAGAGTAGAATAAATGATTCGCGACGCAAGTGTTTATTTAAAAAAAAATTTTTTTTAATATTTAATGAAAAAAAAGAAAATTAATTGAGATGTTAAAATAATGATAATAAATTAAATAAAAGATAAATATATCTAAATAAATAAATAAATATCGTGAAAATTGTACATGAATCTTGCAAGCAATTTAAGACTGTAAAAGCATTCATCGTGCATATCTACTCAACAATTATATAATAATGTAATATATATGTGCATTAAAAGAATTGTCACGGGAATGATCGATTTTAGTTCTCGATGATTAGCTTCACGATTGTTTTGTGCGAATAATATTTTGCGCACAGCCATTAATCAATTTTGACCGTTAAGAAGTCGATCATTCGATATTCATTCAGACCTTTACACTTATTGTATTCAGACTTTCCGTAAGTTCACGTGGCATCGCAGAAAGTTGGAACAAATTACGAAGTTGAGTTTTGAAAGGTTTAACGTGAAATCGATCATTTCCAGAGTCGTTAGATCGATGGAAATACCTTGGAATATTCTGAATGTGAATCCCTCCGGACCTACTTGGATACCACCTAAGGAGTGATACTGCAACTGTTGATCTAGGATGGCACGCACCTCGAGTTCGTCTGTGAACGTCGAACCGATGTCTAAGGTAACTTGCGACGTGAAAGCATCAGACGTTGGTCTAAAAATAAAAAAAATTAATTAGGCTATTTAAATAGTTCAAATATAGAGATATGATATTTTAGAAATGTTATCAAGATAAAAATAATAGTGGATAATTATACTTACGATATCTTAACGACGCTGGCGAAATGATTGTATCCCGGAATATAACGACTGTACAAGTCCTCGAGGGCATGCGTGAGATTACCACTCAATTCCCGATATTCAGGACTGTTTCTGTCGGAATATTCTCGTCTATACGGCTCGCTGACTGTCAATGTTATTCGGTAAAATCCTGTCAAAGAGAAAATTAGTAATGAATAATCGATCCCTTAAAAATTAATTATACACACACACAATATTTATTATAAACAATGCTCTACAATGCTATTATAATATTGTTTTTGTTTCGGTTCGTTTTGCATTTATTTACAATATAAAATTTATACATTCTCTGTAATTGGTAAAAAAAATATATATATATATATATATATATATATATATATATATATATATTACGAGAATATAACAAATTTTTCATTAATTCACCAAAAAATTGTGTTAAATAAATAATAAGCTCTGTATTAACAAATGTAATTAGTATTAATACATATAAATATTCTCTGAGTTGATCGATTGAGATTTTGTTGCGCTAAATAAGTAGTACATTTTAAAATAAAGCTGCCAATCTCTTATTTTGATATTATATTATAACTTTTATTTCTATATCAATAAAATATTATTATATATGTATATTAAATAAGCTGTTAACAATTTTCTTATGTATTTTTATTATTGTTTTCACGAACATATAAAATTAATTAAGATTATTAACAAATTTATCGTCTTTTTTCTCTAACAATAAGAAAAAAGGAAAGAAGAGATTCAAAAGTTATTAAATCTAATAAATTTTAATTAATAGAATTGCATCTATAAAAAATTCGAAACTTACGTGCTTTTCCGTCAACATTGCGAGGTTGAGTTCCTATATTTGTATGATGATCCAATTCTTCTTCGCCCGCGCTGCCTTCGATTTCTCCTGAGCCAGCCAAGTCTTCGTCATCAGAATTCCCATATGTTATCGGTATTCGTTGACTTTCCGCGACGTTACTTATCTCATTATCGTGCTATAAAAAGCATAATAATATTTTTGTATAAAATATATTTTTATAAATGAATGTGAATTGTTTAAAGAAAATCGAAAAGCAAAAATGTTTATAAATCTTGTATCTATAACATATAATACTATTAAAAACACTATATATCTAGATAAAAAATATATATTACAATCTAATGAAACGTGATACCAGATGAGATAACAAATGAAATAAAATTTAAAAGCAATATTTTATTACTTCGTCGTCTGCTTCGTTGTCCTCGTCCTTTTCAAGAGTTAATCTTTCGCTACCAATACTTTCGGCACTTGGCACTTCAGGTTGATCGAGAGTATGATTCCCTTCATTTCCATCGAGATGACTGTTTAAGATGACCGTGTTGTCAAACGTTTCATCTTGATATTCTTTTTGGTCTATAAAATTAAATAATTAAAAGATTGGACAATAGTGTAAATATTTTCAATATATTGTAATGTGATAAAAAATTCATAAAAAATATTATATGCTTAGATTCTTCTAATTATATTTTATTAAAACGGAATTAATACCTGGCGCCGGTGTCGTTGATGTGGAAAAGAAATCGAAGATTTCTCTCTTTATCCTATGAAGAAGAGATTCATCCTGATGCGTTTCGATCATTGGCGCTTGAACCGCGGGTTGTTTACCTTCCGGATCGAAAATCAAGTCATCGTCCTGAAAAAGCAAATCGAAATTGTAGATCTTGAATGTTAAAAAGAAACGGATAAGATTGTTCTTATCACGATAACAATTATAATACGCAAATATAGTTTCCAAATTAATCTATTGAATCGTTTCATCATTGCAAGGGGAGACAATCAACCTCTCTCATGAGTCTCTTTATAAAATTATATGAAATTTAAAAATCAGATTTTGTTAGTATTTCAAATAGCTTCAAGAATATCTTCTGCATTCGTTACAATTTTCGTCGCTTTATGACAAATTCATAAGTCACTATCTCGTTGGGCCCGCCGAGAACCGGATAACCATATGTGCCCGCACGCGCGCGAACAGCAGCAGCACGTACGTGTAAGAGATCCTCGAGCGTGTATATCGCCAAGTATCCTCACGTGTCTCTCATAAAGAACCAATTCTCACCTAAACACACGATATAAATTCAGGATCGTCGAGCCATTCTGCAGCGCGTCGTGATTCCATAAGAATCGCGCGACCGGCAAACTGCCCAGGATTCGAGTACGGGTCAATGACGTTGCCCGTACGGGATGAAAATGGAGAACCGACGTACCCATATAGCGAGGTATAAGCCAGAAAAGCCAACTGGAATAATGTATCGTTACGGGTGAATATCTGACGAGTCCCGGCTACGTAGGGATACGGCCCGCCCGATTATGCAAGCGCGTCGTTATTACAACATAAATATGAATAATACACTGGGTCTATACCCCAGGAAAACCTTATATGTGTGACGTTTCTATACAAATAAAAAATACAAATGCACTCAGCAATAATCGAACTAACGAGAACATCGTGAAACAATTCGTTCACGATTACATAGCAAGTATTTAATCAAAGAAAATTAACAAAAAATTATTCTTTAAAATTAACTTTAATTTCTCTTGTCCTTTTTATTAATATATATAAAATTTAATTAATTCGATAAAAATTAATAAATCAAGATATATTAAATTCTTAATTCGCATTACTGTTGATTACTTTTAATAAGACGATTTTCGTACGGCATGTGAGACACGTGTCTCGTTTTTAATGCGTGCACACAAGTGTTGCGCGACGTTGTAACACGTGAGCGGAACTGGCGTATCTTTTTCCACGAGCGCGAGTTTGTGCACCGGTAATGAAGCTTAAATCGCATCGAGACGAGATGTATTATTACGATGGTGCATTTACACGTCGCGTCGGGCATCATTTAAAGATTCGCATGCAGCATGCAACGCATTCGCGTTTATAAGAAAACTGCACACCTCGTCTCGTGCGTGCACATGCGAGTCTAACAATAAATGCAAGTGCGAAACGGCGTGTACGCGTTACATAACTTTGAACTCGGTTTTAACGAGGCTAACGACACGATGGGTTTATTAAGTCGCGATTCGAGACAATCCAAACATTCGCGAAACGACTGTTTTTTCAATTCGGAAACTCGTTGACGGAAGAATAATATAAAAGAAATATAAAAGATATATATCCAATATTATTATTGTAATTTCCGATTAATTGCTCTTTCCGATTAATTGCATTTTATTGTTCGAGTAGATATGGCTCCAAAATATTCATTCGTCAAGCATTAACAATCAAAAACAGTGAGCGATTCGAGAAAAAAACGCGACAACGCCCATCGTGCCCGTTGTTTCGAAATTGCGGAAGTCCGGACTTAGCGGGTCGCAGATAAAACGCACTGCGAGAGACCATTTTAGATCGCGATAACGACCATGATGCGCGGCACATCCTGCCAGAAAACAGTCGGTACATTGTTCGCACACACAGTTTTATTGCAGGCAATTTAACGATTCGGTCTGCATTTAAACTGTCCTTTAAACGATTCCAGCGCACTGCGCGTTCCATATCATTATCGGCTAATAGCGAGCATATAGATTTTATATAAATTCACAAGATTATTGGATAGTCACGCTATGGATACTTTCGATAAATTCAATAAGAATTGATAAAATATATACAATAAAATGCAATAAAATAAAACCGCACAAGTTATCTCAAAATATCATAATGAAAGAAATGCAATATACACAGATATCACAATCAGATTATATTATTTTGAATAATTAAAGGGTTAATTATTTTTTAATAACTACACATTCAATGTTTCGAAAATGTCTGCGAATATATATGCTGCTGTGTATATTCTAATGTGTTTCGCGCGCTATTGTAAATTCAGCATTAAAGCTAATAGATGTGCGAGCTTTTTGCGGCTGTAAAACGTTAAACGGGAGTCTGCCAATAACGAGAGTATAAATCGGTCGACGAGGTCGAACGTCATAATAGAGCTCTTCGGGAAAAATAAAGAATCTGACCACGGAAAGCGCGGAGCATCGGTGCCCCCGAGACGCGGGGAAGAACTTTGTTATTCTGGGCAAGTTTTACACGGGATTCTGCAGCTAAGTCCACTCTATGATCCTTTCACGGCAACTACGTGCTCATACTTCGACAAAACACCGTTCCTATAGTCCGAAATCCTTAAAATGCATGGGAAATACGTGTTGGCGCAGGTTAAGTAGGAAATTCGTCCTGCGTCGAGCAGGTCCGGGGAACTTCGAAGGGCTTTACGATGGCAAAGTTGCCAAAGAGACGCGATGAAGATGCACGATTAACATTCTTAATATTCATTCTTTTTTTTCTCTCTCTCTCTCAACGTGTCTTACTTCGATGATGCATCGATCAGAATGATTCGACGAATTATGCAACGACTTTCATTGCCATGTGCGATCACTTCGAATCGTATTTGGAATATGCGGCGCGTCGATGACTATACAAGGTAATGCACGAGAGAAAAGGGAACGATATAGTAAAGGATATATTCTGCAAAATTAAATTTCCGAAATGACCATTCAATCGTACAGTTATATAATACTATAAATACTAGATATATAAAATAGCACACACATTCATTTTTTTGACATACATATAAGTGATAATATTTTTTGTCCAATTAATTTCTATCATCGAAATATCGCACGTTATTGCACAATGATAAGAATCGATAGCGCGAATGAATCTTTCACCGTTAGTTTCTCTTCTCATTGATGCAATTCTAAAGTATCCCTAAATGTTACCGAATTACCGTATCTAGGCTATCTTCGTTTGCTCACGTGTTGACGTACGCGGGAGATAACAGATGTATATCTTTTACATGGGTGCCTCAGTCAAAACACTTTTTTACATAATCGCGCTATAATGATAGTAGCAGTATATTTAAAGAATGAGACATACAATTTCCAATTCAATCAAACAGAAGAAGATTGATAGATTGACTGGTTTCTCTAAAGGGAACTCTGTGTTTATTGATAAACAATATAATATTGAATCTTAAATAAAAATTTTTTAAATGGAGCAAAGACAAAAGATACCATGAAAACATAAAATAAACTGTAATCAATAATAAAAAAAGATATTGTAGTCAAATGTATATAATATTACGTGACTCGAATTTTGAAAATATAGTATAAATGGCTTTGGATTTTTTTTTCTCTTTTAATAAACAAAATGTTGTTAATTTATAACTATTAATTTATATAATTGCAGATTAAAATTTTTTCTTTAGTGCATTATTTTTATTATTTTGTTCATTATATAATTATGTAATCACTATCGTATAAAAGAGTGAGAACATCACATTACGTGTTTTATGTGTTTCGTATTGATAATATTTTGCAATCAAAGCACTTGCAATCTACAGGTCAAGCGCACAGCAGATAATCAGTGACCTATGAGAATTTGTAAATTTTTAACACATAAAAATTAAAGATGATCAATTCAGCATTATAATTATAACTTAAATCATTATTACGTAAAGACGTACAAAAGATATATCTTTTATTTTATGTTGTATATACATATATATATATATATATATATATATATATATATCAAATCTATTAATAAATTAATTATAAATACTGTTAATGTTTTTTATTTTAATTATAATATCATATAATAAATTAATACAACGAAATATAGAGTAAAAGTATGATATGCATAATATATATAATTCATTTCTCCATTTATTCTTACATCATTGGTTTTCGTTTATTTTAAATCTCTCAGATTGAACTTTTTGTCATACAGCGATATTTTTAGTAGGCAGGTTACATATATAGAAATATTTTCCAATAATATATCACTTCTATATCAGACTTCTATATTTTATTGCGAGAGATAAATCTAAATATTAAAAAACAGTTATTACTATCACTGCCATAAATGTATACTGTTTATATGACGTCGTTTACTATGATGAACATAAAGCATTATTAATGCGGCTAAATATTAAACATCCATCGATTAACTGGCTTTTTAAACTGACTGTAAAAGTCATAGTGCCTGTATATAGAACAGCTTTGTATGATTTAGTAGTGTCGAAGGCTACGTCCTGAGGAGAAAAAGTGCTCAAAGGTCAAGATCCAGCACGTACAAGGCAGGTCGGAACGAAGAAATCCCTCCAATTTAAGGGACTCTTCTCCGAGGCTTTGACTTAATGAATATATACGTCCAGTTTCTCGCGTCCTCCAGGAAAGAGAACGCGCGAAAGAGAAAAGCGATATGACGCAGGAAGAACGGAGTCGATAAGAAGAAGGGAAGAGGTGATAGCGAACGGAAGAGCGAAGGACGAAGGAAAGGGAAGCGAGATGTTGGCCGATCGTTCTTTGTCTTAAGCCGTGCTATATTAATGCGAAGAACATGTTACATGGAGTGGAATAAAGGGGTGGCAGCAGAGAGAAAGGGAGGAAGATGGAGGAAAGAGAGAGGGTGGCATCGTGGCGAAGAAAAAGAAGAGCGGCGTCATGCGGAATACTAAGGAGGGTCACACACGCTCGTCGAATCTATGTCTAAGATGGAAGGACGAAAGAGGACGGCCTACTCGTTTAACCTCGTCTTTGCATTTTAACAGCTTCTCGTCGCAGGAACAAGTCCTTCGATCCGAAAGATACGGAGTCCGGTGAACAGTTAAATGATGTGTCAAATTG